CTTTCCACGCTTTTCGACTTCCGGAAGAGGCACTACCTACAGTTCTGTTCGCAGCAGATGATGGGGCGTGTCAGTGAGGCTGGGCTTAGCGCGCCGCCAGCCCTTTCTCTACCAGAAGCGGGTAAACAACAATGAACTGGTGAAAAACGACTGATACGAAAGATGTGAGCTTTGTCGGTTGTAAGAGAGAAAACGTGCTGACGGCGCGGCAAACCCTTCTTCATTGACACGCCCCATCATCCGCAGCGAAAAAGGTTGTGTGGTCTACGTCTTTCATTGATGGGAGTGATTCCAGCTCCCATGTAATCGCAGTATGTGCATTCAGGAAAACTCGCTAGGGGTGGAATGTAAGTATAATGTATAGTATCTGAGGTTAATTTTTACCTCCAAATTTTCACTCGAGAAAATGATCTTTCTGAGAGCGAATCCTTTCAGCAGGAATCCACGTCAGCAGCAGCGGTGGCTATTGATCGCCCATCAGATGCGTTTATGCAGTTTTTGGCGAAGTACTACGGTTTGAAGACGCCAGGTACGTTGGCCAGTTAACAAATCCCACTACAGCTTTTGATCTGAATTGACTTTATTCATCTGGTTTGCATAGAAAGGCGGAACAAGCTTCTTCAATATCAATGTGTCTATTTAGTGTGGCAGTCTACGAATTTCGTGGTGTATCCGGAGTTTTTCGAAGGCAAAAAGCCGATCGCAAACAATGAGTACAGGGATACTGGTAGTCGCAGTGAGAAGCTCAGATCAGCAAGGAATAATGATGTAAAGTGTTTTCGTAGGATCTCTTTGCTTCCCGTTTTTCACAAAAATCTCCGATTTCCTCTCTTTTCTATGCAGAGTGCGTGCAAAAAACAACCCGTACGGTGCGTGGTAAGTCTACCGCTCAGGTCACGTAGCCTCCATGGGTTCTCGCGGTGACCATTGGCCAGCCACATACTTGATCATAGGCAAACGCGCTAGTTCTTTGCAGCCTCTCACTTCTGGCTGTTCTCAACCGAAGAGTACGTGTTCGGTGCGGAATTCTGGTATCAACACAAAAGCTGCATCTTGAGGACTCGCGGTCGGAGTTTCAAGACGGCATTCGGGTGTTAGGCTGCGTTCATACTTTGCGGATACACCAGCGTCTACCGGCGTCCACCAGCTACCGGGAGTACAGGGTACGGGGAAGAAGGGGGTAGCAAACAGCTGCGTTAGGCGTCGTGAAATTGTGCAACCGCACCGTACAGCCACACTACACCACATATATTGTATAACTCTAGCTTAAAGACAGCTCCCGCGACAAAAGTGTCAAGGATAATTGCTGATCAATTATGAAACAGTAGCTGATAAGTAATTCGTTACGCTTT